TCCTCCTCCTCCTCCTCCTCCTCCTCCTCCTCCTCCTTCTTCTTTTTTGGTTTTTCGAGACAGGTTTCTCTGTGTAGCCCTGGCTGTCCTGGAACTCACTCTGTAGACCAGGCTGGCCTCGAACTCAGAAATCCACCTGCCTCTGCCTCCCAAGTGCTGGGACTAAAGGCGTGCGCCACCACTGCCCAGCTATCCTTGCTTCTTTAGCCCCACATTTTTCTAAGATATAGATATATTTTTAAAGATTTATTTACTTATGTGTCTTAAGGTTATGCGTGCCCTATATGTGTATATACCTTCTTGCCAGAAGAGTGCATTAGATCTCATTATGGGATGTGCATCACTCATCAGACATTCATCATCATAGATGGTCAGGAACTACCATGTGACTGCTGGAAACTGAACCTCTGGAAGAGCAGCCAGTGTTCTTAACCACTGAAGACATCTTTACACACACACACACACACACAATTTTTCCAAACAGGGTTTCTCTATGTAGCCCTGGCTGTCCTGGAACTTGCTTTGCAATCAGGCTGTCCTTGAACTCAGAGATCTGTCTGCCTTGCCTTTTGATTGCTAGGATTAAAGGTGTGCACTGCCACCATCCAGGTCTGACGTAGAAAAACATTTTTAAAAGGTTTACTTTTGCTGGGCTGCAGCAGACAGGATGGCTGAGGAGGCTGCACTGGCTGTCTGTGCTCGTGTGCCGCCCCTCAACCGCAGGTAGGCGGCCTGGGCCAGTGTGAAGCAGCGTAGGGCGGCCTGGGGACCTTCGTCCCGGGCCGTGCTGCCCCAGGTGACACCGAGGCCCCGGAGCAGGGCTCACTGTTTCCCCGAAAATACCATCAGTCTGCATGCAGCTCTGCTCGGGTGACACTACCGTCCTCGCCTGATGGACGGAAACAGTGAATGTTCAGTCGTGGAGAAGGGTCAGAAATGCCAGAAAGAGAAGACAAGAGGCAGGAAATGAAGTCTACTGGGTTTGCTGGCCTCTGGCCTTCAGTTAGAGATTCGAAAGCTTTTGACGTTCAGGAAATTGGTATTGAATGGGTGGTCAATAGATGACAGTCTCAAAATTGGGAAATTTCTTGCATTTAAGTTCCTTCCCTAATTTGGTAAAAGTTGTAGCCTAGTTAGTTTTAGCTGTTGACTTGACAGCCAGCCTTATCTAAGGGAGTCTCAGCTGGAGGATTACCTCGATGAGGCGGGCCTGTGGGCATATCCTTGTGGAGGTTTCTTGGTTCTTAGTTGATATGGGCAGTACTCAGGCCACTGTGGGCGGTTCCATTCTTAGGAGTGGGATTCAAGGCTTCGAAAGAAAGCTACTTATGGGGAGGTAGAGGCAGGCGGATTTCTGAGTTCGAGGCCAGCCTGGTCTACAGAGTGAGCTCCAGGACAGCCAGGGCTATACAGAGAAACCCTGTCTCGAAAAACCAAAAAAAAAAAAAGAAAGAAAGAGAGAGAGAGAGAGAGAGAGAGAGAGAGAGAGAGAGAGAGAGAAAGAAAGAAAGAAAGAAAGAAAGAAAGAAAGCTACTTATGCAAAAACCAGAGAGAGCAAGACAATAAACAGTGTTCTTCATGGAAAAAAAAAAAAGGTTTACTTTTTAGTTGTTATTTATGCGTGTGTGTCTACATGTAGGTGAGTGTAGATGATGGCAGAGACCAGAAGAGGGCATCAGATCCCTTGGGGCTGGAGTTACAGGTAGTTGTGAGGTGTCTGATGGAGGTGGTAGGACCTGAACTCATTCCTCTGAAAGAAAAGCCAGTGCTCTTAACCAGTGAGCTATCTCTCCAGCCCTTCTGCCCAGGTTTTAGGAATGAGGTTTTAGCTGAGGCTGGGGCTCAGTTGGTGGAACAGTAGACTTACATGTACAAAACACTTGGTTCCATGACCAGCATCCCATAAACAAGGTAGAGGAGGTGGTGCTAGTCTTTCATCCCAGGACTTTGGACAGGGAGCAGGAAGATCAAGAGTTTGTAGTCTAGGGGCTGGAGAGATGGCTCATCGATTAAGAGCACACTGGCTGTTCTTCCAGAGGTTCTGAGTTCAAATCCCAGCAAACACATGGCAGCTCACAGCTGTCTGAAATTCCATCTCTAGGAGTTCTGACACCTTTAACAGATACGCATGCAGGCAAAACACCAATGCACACAAAACAAAAAGAAACGTTTAAAAAAGTTTGCAGTCTGTAATAATACAAATTTATGAAAATATCTCTTGCTGGGCAATGGTGGCACACGCCTTTAATCCCAGCACTTGGGAGGCAGAGGCAGGCAGATTTCTGAGTTCGAGAGTTCGAGGCCAGCCTGGTCTACAGAGTGAGTTCCAGGACAGCCAGGGCTACACAGAGAAACCCTGTCTTGAAAACAAAACAAAGAAAACAAGGCTGCTTGATGGGTGTGGGAGCACATACATTTAAGCCAAGCACTCTTAAGGCAGATGCAGGTGGATCTTTGAATTCAAGGCCAACCTAGGCTACATAGTTAGTTCTAGGACAGCCAGGCTATGTAGAGAGAGCATATCTCAAAGCATCTAGAACAATAAAAAGTAAAACTGCTATTCTACTGTGTGGTCAGTCTGTCTGTTCAGCCTACCTTTTAGAGAACAATGATTTAACAACCAGCATTGTTAAGCCCTAGATTTTCCATGTAACCATTTTTTTACAACCTAAGGTAATACATAAAGCTGTATTTTTTTTTCTTGACAGAGTGCCTGAATTAAAGGTGTGTACCACCACACCCAGCCATAGAACCAATCTCAAGTGATGTACTCTTCCATGCCGCAGATGCAGATGTGTGTGTGTGTGTGTGTGTGTGTGTGTTGTAGTAATTATTTGCTGCAAGCAGCCAAGGTGTTGGAAGCGACCTTAACAAATAGCCCACAGATATCAGAAGTAGCCTTTGCACTATTACAGGAGTCCTCTTAGATCTAACACAAATCAAACAGCAGGTCAATGCAGATAAAAAAATTATTGTAATCAACCTGCTACTGATTGACCAGGGCCACAGAACAGACTCTGGAGCTGAACTGTAGCCTTGAGCCAGAATATCACAGAGCATTTAAGTTTCAAAACCACAAGCATCTGTGCCAAGTTATTGTTATATTTTTTTCATCAAACAGGATTTAGGGATGGGGCTTTTCTCATGTGGTTGATTTATGTCAACAGATACAGAATGTAGGTTTTATAGTCCAACCAATGAAATCCATTTGTTCTGTTGTTGTCAGGGGCAGCCCTGCTTATACACTGAAGGCCTAAAATCAACCATAGGCCTAAAATCAGCCATAGGCCTGACATACATGCCTGCTAACACAAAGTCTTGGGTCTCTGTGGAAAAACACTGAAAGAGATGGCTAGAAGCTATTGTAAACAAGCAGCTTTGGTGGAAAATTGCCAGGCTGAATACACAGACCCTGTAGATAGATAGCCTTGGTGGATAGTACCAACTTAGATAAGGACAAGTGAATCATAGGCGGAGTCATAGTGACCTGTCCCCTGAACCTTCACACAGCTGACACTCTGTTCTGGAAGATATCTGTGCTCCCCCTGAACACCTACGCTCCTGCGTCATCCCCTTCCCCACATCCTGCCTTTTTGTGTATATAACCTGTGCGTGAAAAAGTAAAAATTGTGATCTGATCAGACTATAGACAGATCATCATTTTTTTGTGTCTTTGCCGGTTCCCCCCCACTTTCAGGTGACCTCCCTGGACCCCTGTTTAATGCCCTGCTGAACAGGACATGTTGTGGTTAGGAACAGAAGGTAAGTAACAGAAGTTGTTCAGATATTGGGAACTCCCTAGCGGAGCTAGGGACTAGAACCTTGGATTTACTTTCCCCCATGATTAAAATGGAGTCTGAAAACAAAATGTTAGTACTGAGGACAAACTTCTTTTGCTTGTCCCCAACAGCATAGCACTTGATAATGTTCATTTGCTAAAGAGTCATTTGAGGTCAGAAAAGTGACTTATTCCTTGTAAACAGTGTTAAGAGATTTCTGTAGAGTCCCTTATCCATTGTGCATGGGACTGGTTGCCTTTAATACCAGCACTCAGGAGCTAGAGGCAGCCAGATCTCTGTGAGTTCGAGGCCAGCCTGGGATAGACAATGAGACCCTGTCTTTAAAAACAAAAACAAGCTGGGCAGTGGTGGCACACGCCTTTAATCCCAGTACTTGGGAGACAGAGGCAGGCAGATTTCTGAGTTCGAGGCCAGCCTGGTCTACAGAGTGAGTTCCAGGACAGCCAGGACTACACAGAGAAACCCTGTCTTGAAAAACAAAAAACAAAAAAACAAACAAAAAAACCAACCCAAAAGCAAAATACAAAGAAACTCTCCCTTTACCATACTGCTCACTGTAGGGTTCAATAAATGCAGGGCAAAGCCCTTTTAAAGTGACAGATGTGGGGACAGTCAGTCAAGCAGGTACAGACATATACAACAGACTATAGATATAGCCCAGTAACCACAGGCTAGACTGACAAAGATATAAGGAGAGAAGTGGAGAATTCAAATTTGTGTAGTCAGGTCATCTTCCTGCTAGGTATGCCTCAGTGCCTAAGATTACAGTTGCTTCATGCCCATGTCTGTCAGTTTTTGTTTTTTGTTTTGCTTTGTTTTAGTTTGGTTTTGGTTTTCTGAGAAAAGGTTTCTCTGTGTAGCCCTGGCTATCCTAGAACTTACTCTGTAGAGCACAGTGGACTTGAACTCACAGAGATCCTCAATGAACTTAGGGCAGGAGATGAAGCAAAGGCCACGGAGGAACACTGCTTACTGGCTGCTCCCCACAGCTTACTCAGCCTACTTATATGCCCACAGCCGTCTGCCTCGGTGGCACCTCCCACAGAGGGCTGGCCCCCCACCTATCATCAATCATCAATCAAGAAAACGCTCCACAGGCCAGTCTAGTAGAGGCATTTTCTCAATTGCAGCTTCTTCTTCAGAAATGACTGTAGCTTGTATCAAGCGGATATAAAAGTATCCAGCACACTGAGCCTGTGAGTTCCACCAGGGCAGCCTGCAGGAGTGTGAATCAGGGTTTATTCACAGAGCCATTGACCGTGGCTTGAAGCAAATGCCTCTTCTTCCCCCAGTGTTAACTTCCCAGTGAACCAGAGGGAGGTCGGGACCTCCTTGAACCACCCTCCACTTTCTGCTTTTGACTCTTTCCCCAGCCACGTACCAGTTGGTTACTGTTCAGGAGCTGGAATGAGAATCCTCCATTGTCAGAGAAATAGATATTGGTCCCAGGGATCTGGCCACCAAGGAGATATGCAAACAAGTAATTTGATAACTCCTGGGGGAAGAACACACAGAGGATGTCACAAGGATGCTCAGTGGTGGACTGCTTTTCTAGCATGAAGAATGTCCTAGGTTCTATCCCTAGCACCACAGAAACTCAGCTGCTGGCATATGCCTGCTTTCCTGGAGCTTGGGAGGTGGAGGGTCAGGAATTCCAGGTCAACCTTGACTACACCTGGGGATTAGTTCCACTCATCTATCCTTGGGCATCTAATCCAAACAGTGTACAGCTTTGTGTTTACATGGAAACCTATATACAAGTATAGGGATTATATACACCCACCCACCCCACTACCATTCCCTCCCTCAGAGAGATGGTCTCACCACTTAGGTTATCATATCAATACCACAGCTAACAGGAGCACCTGACTGATGTCGAGTTTGCTAACTCCAAACCCTCAAGTGAACATCCTGTCAGTGGCCCACACAGCTGGGACAGCAGGGGAGGGCCACAGCTTTGCCTTTAACAATCAAGAGAGGGAAACAAACAAATTACTGGGCATTCCAAGTGGCTGAGGGATGAACACACACTTAAAACTTGCTGAGTCTCTGGTGAAGTTTGCTGATGAAAGCACTAAGGCTACATTCTGTATGCTTCCGTTCACAGGCTGTGGGGTCTGAGTAAGAGCAACCCCCATGAGCTCATGTCTGAACACTTGGTCTCCAGTTGGTGGAGCTGTTTGGGAAGGATCAGGAGGAAGTGTGTGTCACTGAGGGTCACGGCAGGCCCTGTTTGCTCTCTCTCTGTCTCATGCTTGCAGATAAGAATTCGAGCTCTCAGCAGCTACCTAAGCACCATGCCTACTGCCTCCTGCCATGCCCCCACCATAATGGTCATGAATGGGCTCGCTGAAGATGTGAACCTCCAGACACTCTTCCTTCAGTGAGTTGTCTTGGTATGGTGTTTGATAATGGTGACAGGACAGTGAGTAGGAGATAATTTTGAAACAATGAAGTTACTTGGTCTCCAGGGAGGTTGAGTGTGACTATTAAGGGACTGGAGAAAGGACAGTTCTATGGAGAAGGACAAGGTGGAGAGCAGCTCTCCACTCAAATGGCAGTGCTGTTGACGATGCCCATGATGTCAGCCCAGGCCCGATCTAGAGAGGATTCTTACAAGATAAACAGCAGCTTAAGCTCAGGACGCCTCAGAAATCCCCCATGCATGTTTCCATGTCAGGAAAACACTCTTTTCTTTACCTAGCAACTTGTTCCTGACCGACCCAAACAGCCTGCATCAGCTCACAGACTCCCGACCTGCTCACACTCACATAAAACCCATGTGAGTTCCTGCTGAGATACTGCTCGGTGCTCTGCTGGGGCAGCCAGGCGGCTTGTTCCCCAATAAACTGTTTTTCTATCCATGAAGTGGTCTACCTTGCTAGTTTTACTATGCCTCGCTTACACCCTGTGATGGTTTAAATATGCTTGGCCCATGGGAAGTGGCCCTATTAGGAGGTGTGGCCTTGTTGGAGGAGGTGTGTCCCTGCATAGATGGGCTTTGAGGTTTATTATGCTCCGATTCCACCCAGTGTGGAAAAGACCCTCCTGGCCGCCTTTGGATTAAGATGTAGAACTCTTAGCTCCTCCAGCACTCTGTTATCCTGCACACTGCCATGCTTCCTGCCTTGTTGATAATGGACTGAACCTCTGAACCTGTAAGCTAGCCCAAATTAAATGTTATCCTTTATAAGAGTTGCCTTGGTCATGGTGTCTCTTCACAGCAGTAAAACTCAAACTAAGACACATTCCTTATCCATGATTTCACTTTTTGTGGGTTCAGTGACACCCCTCTTCCTCAAGTAAGCCACAGTTCAAAAATATTACGTGTCAAATCCATAAGTAAGCTATAAGAAATAGCATTGCTTTGTGCTCCTCAGACAATCACAGCTAACTAGAGGTACTAGGCACCTGGCTCCCCTGGCTACAGCCACCTGCTGCCAGTCTGGGACCTTTCAGTCCATCCCAAGATTGAGCGGCCCCAGGATGGAAGGTTCTGCCTGACCCACTGGGATGAGGTACTCATGAAAGATCTGTCTTTGAAAAACCCACCTAGTGGGGAGTTCATGTGGCGAGGAAAGCTTTTCAAACCTCCAAACCCTCACCTCACGCCACCCCGTCATCTCACACCACCTTGATAGTCACATTTGCCTCTTCTCTAGGCTGATGCCAGATTTTGCAAGGTTCAAAAATCGATCAGTTTTCTTGCCCTGCTCTGAGTCTCCAGTGCCCTGAGCATGATGGCAGGGTCATCACTTCTCACATAAAAGCCCCCACTCCCCCACTGAATCACACTGTGACATTCTGTACCCAAATCACATTTCTTCCCAGTGTTCCCACCCTGTACAAACTGCCTTCTCATTGGCCATTTTCAGGTGTCTATTTTAGCTTCACGTAGTTTCATGGGGCTGTGTTCAAGTGTGATTGTCTACACTCTCTGTCTCTATTTGTCTCTGTCTGTCTGTCTGTCTGTCTGTCTCTATGTGTCTGTGTGTGTGTCTGTGTGTGTCTGTCTCTGTCTCTGTGTGCATGTGTGTGTGTCTGTGTGCATTTCTGTTTCTGTCCCTGTCTCTGTGTGTGTGTGTATGTCTGTTTCTGTCTCTCTCTCTCTGCGTGTGTGTATATGTGTGTGTGTCTGTGTGTTTGTGTGTCTCTCTGTGTGTCTCTGTCTCTCTGTCTGTACTTGTGTGTATGTGTGTCTGTGTGTATGTCTGTCTCTCTCTGTATGAGTGTGTCTGTCTGTGTGTGTCTGTCTCTGTTTCTGTGTCTCTATCTGTCTCTGTCTCTGTCTCTCTCTCTCTGGTGCCTTTACTCATCGAACCCCTTGGGCAGTCTTTACTTCTGTTTGTTTGTTTGTTTGTTTGTTTCATTCTTGTTTTCTTCTTGTTGTCTATTTTGTTTTGAGGTTCTCACTATTTCACCAAGGTTAGTCTCAAACTCACGGCTATCCTCCTGCTTCAGCCTTCTGAGTATTGAGAGGGTAGGTGTTGGTTATCAAGCCCAGGTTCAATTAATGTTTTTAAAAAGTGGTTTTGAGCTGAGTGATGGTGGAGCACACTTTAATCCAGCACTCAGGAGGAAGAGGCAGGAGGATCTCTATGAGTTCCAGGACATCCTGGTCTACAGAATGAGTTCTAGGACAGCTAAGGCTACACAGAGAGACCCTGAGTCAAACAACAAACAAACAGTTATGTAGGAGAGGGCCTGCAGCCTGGACACTACCATTCCTAGAAACTGTTGGTTATTATACAAATTCCCATTCCAGATGTGCAGGTCTCCATGTGAGCCCTGAGACCCCCAAACACTGCAGGCTTCTTGGTCATCTAGCAGGCCCTGCTGACAAGTCCCCATTGCTGGAGACCTACACACCTTCATCACACAATGCCCAGTTCGTTAGCTGGATGCTCCCTGCGTGCTGCCTGGCCAGTTCGT